CAGGGGCCGCACTGTCCAATGCCAGAAACCCCCAAACAGCTAATGGCTAAAATGGCCACCTGTGACAGGATAGGGGGAGACTACAGCCCGCAACTGTGTACATAAATAGTGGGAAGAGACCAAGAAGGATTCCATATTTATTTCATATATTGCAAAAAGGTATACAGCTGCAAACATTGTTATTATTTAAATTGTTTAAATTACTCATAAAATATTGAATCTTTATATGGATGGGTGCAGGAGGTAATGAAAACCAGAGTATATAATCTAAGGGATAACAAAACAGGCAATCCATGGTCTACTTACATAGAATGTCAGAGTGGTCGCAACCCTGGATGCGTTTTTATTGTTGAGTATTTTAAATGGAATTTGTATCAATAAAAGATCTTTTTTATGCATCGGTGCTGTTGTAGCTGCATTAAAGTCCCATGGGAGACAATCTTTCTTGTAATTACATTTGGGGATGTAGCAGCCCTTGACTCAAGATAACTTACCTACTTTACTGTTAGCCAATGACGAAAGAGAGACCCGGGACAACAGAGGCTCTCGTGCACGTCACTGGTCAGGGGGCCCAGATGAGTATAAGGGGGAGAGCAGCACACAGAAGGTTTTTTTACCTTCATGCATAGAATGCATGAAGTTAAAAAAAACCTTCAGCTTTTACAACCACTTTAAAGCATAAAGTGCAGAAAAATATACTAATAACCAGATTTTTCTAAACCATTCTTTACAGCTCAAGCAGCTATAAGATGCATGCAAATCAGTAGTTTTGACTTCACTGACTGCATACTTGTTCCTGGCCAATGACTCTGAAAGTACTAAAGCCAGTGAAAGCTGTGCCCAAAAAGAGCCAGATGACCTATGACAAGTCAACTGTATTGTCTGTGGTCTCCCTTCACCTGATGTTTTCCACATTACCTACTTATTGTGACTTGCTCTACACCTTTTGTGTGGGGGTGGTCATCTTGGTAGAGGCAGGGCTTTACTTTCTCATGTCAGAGCCACCCCCCTGATGACTGGTGATCTGATGACTGGTGGGGTAATGATCAAGAAGCAGCACACAGATCCCGGAGAGTGTGGGAACACCAGAGGGGATGGCACGGCACTGGAATCCATGCATGTGGAAAAGTGGAGTGTTGCACCAGCACATGTGTATAGAAGAGTACACAAGGTTTTTTTGGCATCAGCACTATAGAGACATTAGTATTTGGACATTTATATTTCTGAGAGCATTATTTGAATTTGTTAAATTTGTTGAATTTTTGGGTGTTAAGTAATATATGTGTAAAAATTTGGGAAGGCAAAGGAAATGCCTCTGTGTGGAGGTAATCATCTTGGTAGAGACAGGGAATTGCTTCCTCATGTTAGAGCTTCCACCCAAATGACTGGTGATCTGATGACTTGGGGGGGGGGGGGGGGGATCAAGAGGCAACAGAAGAGGTGAAGGAAGCACTGATCCATAAAAATTGACAGCAGTGACAACAATGGATTTCATTCCAAATATTGCTAGACTAGCAGTCAGAGATGGCAGATGATCTTACACTACAGGTATACAGCTATGAGGCTCAAGACAGAGATGTACCTAGGCACGGAAAGTGCACTGCTATTTTTCAGAAATTCTACATAAAAAAAGTATTATTTTTCAGGGTGTTTCTAAAGTACAATTTACATTTCTAGATGTTCACTATAACATAGCATATCTTCTCTTTTTGAGTTCAGGTCAACATTAAACTCAACATGGCACGTAGAAAAGCCAAACAGCTTCCATGTACTATGTGATAAAAGGGAGTTACTCCCATGGGATGACCCAGCATTATCATTACGTAAAGAGCTGAGCCAACAAGTACTCCATCATTATCTTAAAGCCCAAGTCATTTGTAACTTTGTTTAATACAGCATTAATAATACACAAGACAGCACTGCCTTCTGCTGATGGGGCTCTCCGTCTTAAAGGACAAGTTTTCACACGACAGTTAAACAGTTATGATGTAAAGGCGTTTCATTAAATCATAAGTACCTTAACCTTTTCTTGAAAGAACTGTAGGATTTAAAGATTTATAAATAATTTTTTGCCTGAACTAGGAAATGACTCATATTTGACAAGTATTGAAATGATAATGCTGATTTCAATAGGCATTCTAAGAGCATCCTATCCTCCAGAGAGTAATATGGTAGCGAGTTCCCCTTTGCATTTTGATTTTAAACTTTCTTCCTGAAGCTTTTAACAGGCCGCTGTCTGCCAAACTGTGGCTGCATAACACTGATATGACCAGGCAAAATAAAGGCTACCAAAAAGATTATGTTTTATAATTGTAGACAGGCAGGCAAGAAAAGCCACATCAATCTGACATATCCCGGAAAACTTCTAAAACAGATTGTGTTTAATCAGTTTTGTGCCTTTTTTCAGTGGAAATTCATTAAGCCCTACCTAATTTTCTTAACTAGAACCTGCATATTTCACCGACAACCCCCAAATCTTACATTCACAGTCACCGTGTTATAATTAATAGTTAATGTATAACGTACTCCAGTGATGAAGAAGCTTTGAAAAGGTGGCTTAAAACACGGGATGCATAATTAATGAATGCAATTAGAGAGAAGAGTACTAATAATCAATTTAACTATAGTCAGAAAAAAAAGACTATTTTAGATCAACAGTGGGTGAATCCTTAAATATGCTTCTGCATTGATTTTACCAGAACGGCTATTTTCTCTAAAGATTTCAAATAAATTCAACTTCACAGAATCTACATTCTTTGAATGATGATGTGTCCGTATCAACCCAATTCTCTGCCCAAAGTCTTGCATGATAGTCATACTCCTTCCAACAAACCCCAGTAGTGGCAAGGTTGAGAGCCATTTCACATGTTAAAATATGAATGTTGTTTTGCTGATTGCTGCCCTTCTACAGCAGAACAGAAAAGAAAGAGTCATTGTCATTGCCATTTCAAAACATTGGTCACCTATATTATATGTAGAAAAACATTTAAAAATTTTATATATATATATATATATATATATATATATATATATATATATAGTGGGGATCGAAAGTTTGGGCACCCCAGCTAAAAATTTGTATTAATGTGCATAAAGAAGCCAAGGAAAGATGGAAAAATCTCCAAAAGGCATCAAATTACAGATTAGACATTCTTATAGTATGTCAACAAAAGTTAGATTTTATTTCCATCATTTACACTTTCAAAATAACAGAAAACAAAAAAATGGCGTCTGCAAAAGTTTGGGCACCCTGCAGTGTTTATAGCATGCACTGCCCCCTTTGCAAAGCTGAGACCTGCCAGTGTCATGGATTGTTCTCAATCATCGTCTGGGAAGACCAGGTGATGTCAATCTCAAAGGTTTTAAATGCCCAGACTCATCTGACCTTGCCCCAACAATCAGCACCATGGGTTCTTCTAAGCAGTTGTCTAGAAAACTGAAACTGAAAATAGTTGACGCTCACAAAGCTGGAGAAGGCTATAAGAAGATAGCAAAGTGTTTTCAGATGTCAATATCCTCTGTTCGGAATGTAATTAAGAAATGGCAGTCATCAGGAACAGTGGAAGTTAAAGCAAGATCTGGAAGACCAAGAAAAATATCAGACAGAACAGCTCGCAGGATTGTGAGAAAAACAATTCAAAACCCACGTTTGACTGCACGATCCCTCCAGAAAGATCTGGCAGACACTGGAGTTGTGGTACACTATTCCACTATAAAGAGATACTTGTAAAAGAACCTCTGTCCAACTGTTAAGCATGGGGTTGGATCAATCATGCTTTGGGGTTGTGTTGCAGCCAGTGGCACAGGGAACATCTCACGAGTAGAAGGAAAAATGGATTCAATAAAATTTCAGCAAATTTTGGATGGTAACTTGATGCCATCTGTGAAAAAGCTGAAGTTAAAGAGAGGATGGCTTCTACAAATGGATAATGATCCTAAACACACCTCAAAATCCACGGGGGATTACATCAAGAGGCGTAAACTGAATGTTTTTTCCATGGCCTTCACAATCTCCTGACCTCAACATAATTGAAAATCTATGGATAGACCTTAAAAGAGCAGTGCGTGACAGACAGCCCAGAAATCTCAAAGAACTGAAAGACTTTTGTAAGGAATAATGGGCAAAGATACCTCAAACAAGAATTGAAAGACTCTTGGCTGGCTACAAAAAGCGTTTACAAGCTGTGATACTTGCCAAAGGGGGCAGTACAAGATATTAACTCTGCAGGGTGCCCAAACCTTTGCAGACGCCATTTTTTTTTTTGTTTTCTGTTATTTTTGAAGTGTAAATGATGGAAATAAAATCTAACTTTTGTTGACATATTATAAGAATGTCTAATCTGTAATTTGATGCCTTTTGGAGATTTTTCCATCTTTCCTTGGCTTCTTTATGCACATTATTACAAATTTTTAGCTGCGGTGCCCAAACTTTCAATCCCCACTGTATATACTATATTGCCAAAAGTATTGGGATGCCTGCCTTTACACGCACATGAAATTTAATGGCATTCTAGTCTTTGTCCATAGGGTTCAATATTGAGTTGGTTTGCCCTTTGCATCTATAACAGCTTCAACTCTTCTGGGAAGGCTGTCCACAAGGTTTAGGAGTGTGTCTATGGGAATGTTTGACCTTTCTTCCAGAAGCGCATTTGTGAGGTCAGGCACTGATGTCGGACAAGAGGGCCAGGTTTGCAGTCTCTGCTCTAATTCATCCCAAAGATGTTCTATCAGGTTGAGGTCAGGACTCTGTGCAGGCCAGTCAATGTTCCTCCACCCCAAACTCGCTCATCCATGTCTTTATGGACCTTGCTTTGTGCACTGGTGTACAGTCATGTTGGAACAGGAAGGGGCCATCCCCAAATTTCCCACAAAGTTGGGAGCATGAAATTGTTCAAAATGTCTTGGTATGCTGACACTTTAAGAGTTCCCTTCATTGGAACTAAGAGGCCAAGCCCAACCCCTGAAAAACAACCCCACATCATAATCCCCCCCACCAAATTTTACACTTAGCACAATGCAGTCAGGCAAGTTCCATTCTCCTGGCAACCGCCGAACCCAGACACGTCGGATTTCCAGACAGAGAACCATGAGTCCAGTGGTGGCGTGCTTTACACCACTGCATCTGACGCTTTGCATTACACTTGGTGATATAAGGCTTGGATGCAGCTGCTCGGCCATGGAAACCCATTCCATGAAGCTCTCCACGCACTGTTGTTGTGCTAATCTGAAGGCCACATTTGGCGACTTCTACGCACTGTGTGCTTCAGCATGCTCTGACCCTGCTCTGTCATTTTACATGGCCTACCACTTCGTGGCTGAGTTGCTGTTGTTCCCAGTTGCTTCCACTTTGTTATAATACCACTAACAGTTGACCATGGAATATTTAGTAGCAAGAAAATTTCACGGATGTACTTATTGCACAGGTGGCAACCTATCACGGTACCATGTTTGAATTGACTGAGCTCCTGAGAGTGACCCATTCTTTCACAAATGTTTGTAGAAGCAGTCTGCATGCCTAGGTGCTTGATTTTATACACCTGTGGCCATGGAGGTGATTGGAACAACTGAATCCAATGATTTGGAGGGGTGTCCCAATACTTTTGGCAATATAATGTATATACAGTGCTCAGCATAAATAAGTACACCCCAACAGATTTGTCAGAAAACCTTTACTTTCCTTTCAGAATCAACATTTTCTATGGGACACTATACTACTAAATACTCCCACAAATGCGGGCCATTGATTGCAAACAAGATTTGTTAATTTGCACACGCAAGAAAATTTTTTTCCTAACAAATTAATTCAAGACCATGTTGAAAAGAGGAATATAATTCAATGAAAGCCTTAGGAGCAAAGCTAAATTGTACACAACAAATCCTAAATAACAAGAATTCAACTACAGGTGAGTCTAATTATTTATTAAACCGGTGTCCAGCATACTGCAAGATGATGCTTCAGTTTTTCCATCATTCTTATGTATCTCCACATCGCTCATATCTTATGGGCCTAAGCTCCTCTTCCTGCTCCCTGAAATGTCATGCGTTATGGCAAAACTGGCGCTTCATGTTGAGTCAGGAGGAGTTGAATCCTCCCATTCAAGTCTATGGTACCGCTCCTCAAACGCCTGGCAGATGTTTGCGGTGCAGTTGCGACGCTTTTGCGGAACATTAATATCATTTAACTTGATTATAGGCGTTTGTGGTACTGTTTTAACACTTGGCAAACACCTATAAAATGCCTCAAAACTGTGCATAGGGCTTTTGGGGAGCATTTGAGGAGCGTTAAAAATGCTTCCCAAACGCCTGTCAAACGCTATAGGGTCATTTGTCAAGAGTTAGAAATAAAGTCAAGTGTGAACGAGCCCTTAGATGCTGACTTGTTCCATGCCTTCTGGGCATGTCCCAAGATTAAATGATTGTGGAACACAGTTGTGCATTATGCTACCACACTCTTAGTAAACTACTTACCTCTAATCCCTGAATGGGCACTCTTTGGCCTTATCAACATACTAGGTGTTAAAATCTCAAGAGGATGTAAACAAATCCTAATTGTCATATCCCTTGTAGCACAAAAAAAACATTTTACATAAATGGATCTACCCATCACCCCCCACTGTTTCTTTGTTTATAGACAAACTCTCTTATGTTTTTCTGAATGGTCTAGGGTTGTCAGTGGTGTACCCCAAGGTTCAGTGTTGGGACCAGGGGCGGACTGACAACTCATGGGGCCCCTGGGCAATAGGGGATCATAGGGCCCCTGTGTCCTGGCCCAAACTCAAAAAAGCCTATGAAAAAGGTGCCAGGGGCATCTCATGGGGCCCCCTACTGACCCTGGGCCCTCAGGCAGTGCCAGAGTTTCCAAATGGTCAGTCCACCCCTGGTTGGGATCCTTACTTTTTAATATATTTATAAACGATATAGGGTATGGGATTAAAAATACCATTTCAGTATTTGAACATGACATGAAGCTGTGCAGTGGAATAATGTCCTTACAGGATGTTTTCAACTTACAAGCCGACCTCAATGCACTGTTTAATTGGGCAACTATGTGGCAGATGAGGTTTAATGTTGATAAATGTAAGGTTATGCACTTGGGGGCTAAGAATATGCATGCATCTTACATACTAGGGGGAGTACAACTGGGGGAAATCAATGGTGGAGAAGGATCTGGGAGTTCTGGTAGATCACAAGCTTAATAATGGCATGCAATGCCAAGCTGCGGTTTCTAAAGCGAGCAAAATCCTCTCTTGTATTAAAAGAGGTATAGACTCCAGAGAGAGAGATATATCATATTACCCCGGTACAAATCATTGGTAAGACCTCATCTGGAATATGCAGTTCAGTTTTGGGCACCAATTCACAAAAAGAACATTGGGGAACTGGAGAAAGTACAGAGAAGGGCAACCAAACTGATAAGAGGCATGGAGGAGCTCAGCTATGAGGAAAGATTAGAGGAACTGAATTTATTCTCTTGAGAAGAGGAGATTAAGGGGGGATATGATCTCCATGTATAAATACATCAGTGGTTCATATAGTGAACTCAGTGTAGAGCTATTCACCCTGAGGTCATCACATAGGACAAGGGGGCACTCTTTACACCTGGAGGAAAAAAAATTTAATTTCCAAACACGGAAAGGTTTCTTCACAGTGAGAGCTGTGAAAATGTGGAATAGACTCCCTCAAAAGTTGGTTCTGGCCAGCTCAGTGGATTGCTTTATAAAAGGCCTGGATTATTTCTTGGATACACAGAATATAACTGGATACTAACATTTATAGGTAAAGTTGATCCAGGGAATATCTGATTGCCTCTCGGGGGATCAGGAAGGAATTTTTTTTCCCTGCAGGAGTAAATTGGATCATGCTTTGCTGGGTTTTTTTGCCTTCCTCTGGATCAACTGTGGTATAGGATTATAATATTTTTTTTATTTAATGGTTGAACTGGATGGACTTTTGTCTTTTTTTCAGCCGGACTAACTATGTAACATGGAATGGGTGGAGGCCTTTGATATCTGGGAATCTTTCATTCAAACCTTGCCTACAGATACCCAAAAATTAATAGTGCAATGTTTTCAATACACACAATGGGTTAAAACCAGACTGTTAACCAATGACCTTCCATTTGATATCTTACCCTCTAATTAAAATTTAGAAATATTTTACCCTTTAGCAGCTAAAGCCTCTCCTCATTCCATCATCTGCTAGTTGTTAAACCATCCGCCATCCATCTTTTTTTTGTTTTTTAATGTCCATCCTTTGACCCAGCACTGATACCTGGTTCTCATACTATAATAAGAAACTGTATGTTTTCAATTTTGTATTGTCCTACTGACCAAATGTTGTGGCTATTTGTTAACTGCAATCTCGCATTAAAAAATACAATAAAAAAAAAAACAAGGTGTCCAGCAGACAGTTGATTATAAAAGGACATTGCTTAAAGAAAACCCCTTCTCATTTCACGCTGTCAGCAATGGCACTACATGGAAGAGAAATGTCACAAGGCCTGAGAAAGAAAATAATTTCTTTACATAAGAAAGGTGAAGGCTAAAGGAAGATCAGCAAAGTTATACTTATCAGTCAGAATACTGTCGCAAAAGTGACACAAACATTTAACAAAGATGGAACTGCAACCATCTCATAGACACTTCCAGGGCATCCATGGAAGTTAACAACTCAACAGGAGTGTCTTCTGATAGGGAAGGGTTGAAGAAAAAAGCATTGTAACCCTGATGTCTTGCAGGAGGTGCCAGAAAGGGTGTCCTATCTGCTCCCAATTGGTGGGCAAGTTGCTATAGGACCCCAAATCAGTTTCCATAGCATGTAAGTAAGAAAAATCAGTAACCAAATAAAATGCTTTATTATTTAGTCTATTTTCAACTAATATGTGAAAAGGGAGGGAGGTGCAGCGCTATATATCCAGACAAATGATAAATGATTACACAATAATAAATGGTGACTGTAAGTTAGTAATGTCACTAAAGTGAAGAGAGTGAAAACAGTCCAATGAAGGGGTGCTCTTAAGATCCAGGGTGATCTTCAGACGTCCAATATACAGGACCATCAGGTGATAAAATATAAAGACTGCGCACTCACCAGATACGCAATCTTTATGCGCATTTGTGTGAAATATCACTAGACCTCCTGTGTCATCATCCTGGTCTGGTCAGATCTGGTCAGCATATCCCTCATGGCCTGGTACCTGGATGGATGCAGCTGTTCTGTAGATTTGGCAGGTTCCCACCAGAACTCAAATAAATAGAAAGGGCCACATAGTGTAATATCCCCCAACCACTGACATCCCAGACTGACTAATATTTAACTTTTTCATTAAAGTGATGTACTTATTAAGGTGTTCTCCTGTGTCCTGTCCAGTGTTGGCAGGTCAGAGAAAGGAGGAGCATTAGCCCCTAGGTTTTTGCATTGAGGAAGCTCCAGCACTGGCATGGTGTTAAATGTCCAGGGATCTCTGGGGAAAATGTTTCCTGTGACATCACTGCCCATAACACTATAAAAAATTAGCTTTCAAAGTTAACATTCATAAATCAGCCAGTCTTTCAAAGGAATCCGCATGACATGATGCTTTTTCAAAGCTGTGGGTTGTTTAACTAAAGATCATATTTAAATCCTGCTGTTGAGTCAAAGTTCTTTTTATTTTCCAGTCCCAGAGACCATAAGAAACCATACACAGTTAATATAAAAAGGATAAAAGATGTGCAATGGAATTGACACATTTAAATGCGGACAGTAATCCCTACATTAATCCCTAGGGCCATGTCTGCTCCCAGAGTGAATTACATTTGCTTCCTCCCACTGTGAAATTTTGGTTAAGTTACTCTGTAGGTGGAAGCAATAGATTATTGACAGTTATTTTTGGATTTTGTAACTGAAAAAAATATTTTATATATATATATATATATATATATATATATATATACATACACTGCTCGAAAAAATTAAAGAAACACTTATTAATCAGAGTATAGAATCAAGTCAATTAAACTCCTGGGATATTGATCTGGTCAGTTAAGTAGCAGGGGGGTTGTTAATCAGTTTCAGCTGATTTGGTGTTAATGAAATTAACAACAGGTGCACTAGATAGGCAACAGAGACAACACACCAAAAATGAGACAACCCCTAAAACAGGAATGGTTTTTCAGGTGGAGGCCACTGACTTTTCTTTCCCTACTCATCTTTTCTGACTGTTTTTCACTAGTTTTGCATTTGGCTAGGGCAGTGGTGGGCAACCTTTTTTTTCAACTGAGCCAAATCTCGCCAAAACCACGATTGAAATTTATTTTGAGAGCCACATTTTTAAAACTGAAAATACATCCCCCATATAGTAATTCATCCCCCATAGTAATTCATCCCCCATATAGTAATTCATCCCCCATAGTAATTCATCCCCCATAGTAATTCATCCCCCATATAGTAATTCATCCCCCATAGTAATTCATCCCCCATATAGTAATTCATCCCCCATATAGTAATTCATCCTCCATAGTAATTCATCCCCCATATAGTA